ATAATGTATTTTGAAGTACTTGATTCTAGATTGTTCAAGGTAATAGTATACTCATTATCAAGGATAATAGTCTTCTATTTTGCTTTTTTGTGAAATTCTTCAGGTCTTTTTATCTCCATAGTTTCATATTTATAAATACTATTGTAGTATTTTTTCTATTTGATGTAACTAGTAAGACTTTTACTGAAAACAATACACGTATATGCTTTTGCAAGTGAAGATTGATTTTATAAAGGTTGTTTATTTGTTGATTTACCCAGTTTCTTTCCTTTTGAAGTTTTTCTTTTTAAGGATATCTACTTTTCTTCTTTTTAGATGAGCCCGGATTAGATTGAGGAGAAAGAACTTGTTATTTAGAGTTGCTAAAGCAGACAAAAGAGGTCCTTCCAATCTATTTAGAAAAGAGTTCCTTGATCAGAGACAACTGTTCGGTTGGATCAGAATATTTGAACACAGCATTATAGGAAAAGCTAATCTCTATTATGATATTAATCATGTTGTTGTTGTATTGGTTTAAGATAAAAGCTTCTATCTCTCACTGTTTTTAAAAAAATTCCTTATAAGAAAATTATTTTATCAAAAAGTGGTCAATAGGAAAGAGTTTTAATATATATTAATTAATAAAAGAAAAAAAAATAAAAATAATATAATAAAGATAAACATAATAAAATACAATATTAAACAAGTAAATTTATGATATCTCTTGTTATCCATGAATGGCAAATACAATTATTACCATAAATCTATTAGTATCTATCTATATGCTATTAGTAATTCAAATCTTATGTCACCTCGAAGCTTTAGAATCAGTGATTAAATTTTGAGATCTGAAATATTATATATTCTTGACAATTATTAATGTTTTATAGCTAGAGATCTAAATTCTTAATTATCTCTAAATCCTATTTGATAATATTTTCTAACTATTAAGAAAAGATGTATATCTCATCAAAATACCTATAGTTTTCTAAGATTGTTTTAATAGTTATCATCTGACTTTTAGATATAAAATTATACTTTTATTAAATAACTTAGATAAACTTGTTACAGTAATATTGTAGATAGTTATATAAACTTCTTAATAAAAATTAAGCTATATAATATAGTTGTGGGTTAAAAAAATAATATATGATATTTATTTTATTTATTTTTATAAATTATAATATAAAAAATAACAAAATTATAAATCTTATATTTAATCATTTATATATTATTTAATAATAAAAATTAATTATAATTTTCAAATTAATATATAAATAATATCAGTAAATTTAAATTTTTAAAGAAATTAAAACTTAATATAAAAGTAAAGAAATTAAATATTACAATTTAATTTAAATATTTTTATTTGATAAAAATTAATTAAAATATTAAATCAATATATAAATATTTATATAATCATTAAATATTATTAATATTAAATTTAACTTTTTAAATATTGAAATATTTTAGTAAGTATAATAATGCGAATAAATTTTTTAAATATTTTTTATAAATTATAAATATCTAAATATAATAATAAACTTATAAATTAATTGTTACTCGAATAATATATAATTACATTATTATTTATAATTCAAACTATATATTATTTTTATTTTATGCTATACACTGAATATATTTTTATATAAATTTAACTATATATTTAGTTTAATTATGAATATTATAAAATAAAAAATAACAAAAAAAATTTTTTAAAAAAAAATCCAATATAAAATTCAAAAAAATCTTGAATATTTTTTTTATTAATTAAAATTAATTTTAAAAATAATCAAATTTTTTAAGATATATATTTTTTATTTTAAATCAATGGTAAACAATAAAATTATTAATTATTTATTTATAAAATTCCAAAATTTTGTTATTATATTAAATGGATATTTAATAAAAAATATTGATCTAAAGACCTTTGTAACACACTGAATTTATTTAAAATATATTGATAATCAAAAGTATTATATCACAAATCAGTATATTGAATATTATTTATTAATAAAAAGTCAATTTTCTGGGAATTATAACCAATGGATTTTTTAATAATAAACTTTCACACGTAGTATAAAAATTTATATGTTTACATGTTGCTATAAAAATTGTCCGTTACTGGACAACTTTTAGTTTCAAATTACCCTTCCAAATGCATTCTCGGCACCCATTAATATAATGGATGTAATCTGTGTAACTTAATACTTTCCTTCCCCAAAAGGAAAAAAATACTTCTGCTACTGTGTACAGTAATCGGTTCGGGTTAAATTGTGATTTGTTGATAGGTATTACGGTGGGGTGTCAAATTGAATGTTCATAAATTTATTAAAAAAAAATAGATGGCATACAACTTATTGGTGCTATTGGTGGTGGTAACTTAGTTTAAGGTTCAACTTTCTTAGGTCTACGTTATCTTATGTTGTCTTTAAAGGTCAATTCTTAAGAGAAAATTCATCCAAATATGCTGAATTTAATGAATTTAAAGCCATTTAGCTTGTCTAAAAAATTCCCATAACTTACTTGCTTTATTAACATCCATTTTTAGCATTTTTTGTGCATCACTTTTTCGAAAAGGTAACATTCTTTCTTGATATCTTCGTGAAGCCGAGAGCAAAGTATTTTTTGAGGTTAAATATTGTACTGGTGTAAGCCGTAGAAGGGAAGCTACCTTCGCCTCGGTCTTATGTAAAACCTCATAACGCTGCAAATGCGAGATCTCCAGAGGGTTGCTTTTCCATTGAATGTTAAGGACTATATTATCCAAGTTACTTGTATCAAGATTCATGTCTTCAATGTTTCTAATTAGGTCCTCCCATTCTAAATGCGGTGTAGAGGGAATCCTACTAGGATTTATATTGTTTAATTCCGTGGAAATTGATGAATGGTCGGAGACTCCGCGATCAATCATCACTCTTGCAAAAGAATTTCCCTTGCTTTTTAGTCCGGAGGACATAATTTTTGGTAGTTTATGTGTTTGTTGATCTAACGGACTCATGGAATCAGGGGTCGATGGTGGAGTTGAAGTCGGGGTGCAAACTGATGAAGCTGAATTACTATCTGATCCATACGTTTGAGCAACATCATTGTCATCCGACACTAGCAACAAATTCATGATATCCATGGGAGATCTCGCGTTCTTATTTGCAATGTCCGTTGGTGACATTCTTGGTACATAGGTTGGGGAGCTCTTTCGTAAATTTTCAGATTTGCTCTTACGTGAGGATTCGTATACATGATCATCGTGTTTATGCTTTTTCTTTAAGGAATGCAACTTCTTTAGTTTTCTTAACTCGCGCCTTTTTTTCTGTGAGAGGATCAGGAATTTTTCGGTGAGAAGCAAAAAAAAAAGGAAAAGGAAAATAATATAAATGTCTTTTCATCACACCAATGATTTCGCCAATGATTTCGACAATAATTTATCGATGGATTTCTTGTATTCTGAGTGAGGTGATTTTTGAAAGGCTTGAGATCCCTTGTTTTTAACAAATGTCATCTTTTTTAACGAACGAACGAACGAAAGAGTACCTGACAAATTACAGCAAAAAGAAAAAAAAGGGGGGGAACGATAGAAAAAAAAGAAGAGGATATAAACAACTTTGGAAGAGAAACAAGCATTCAAAATTGAAAAACCAGAGTATCAACTTACCACAATTCTAAACAAGCAACAGTAAGTTTAAAATAATTTTGATCTACTCTTACGAAGAAATTTATATTACGTAAAAAAATTTAATTTTCCTATGTTAAAAAACCATGTGGGAAGGTGTACATATATATATAATTTTCAAAATTCGAAGAAATTGAATTGCGTTTCCCGATTTCCAAATTTGCGAAAAGAAAAACCCATCAATTTCTCCTTTTGGTTTCACTTGTTCTTGACATTTTTTATGAAAATCATCTTTGCATATATATACCTCCGAAACCAGATTCTCCTTTAAACTTGCAAGTGATGGATTTCCTTGTTATAAAGTTAGCCGATGGATTGTGTTTCTCCATTCTAATTTAGCTCAATTGTTAACAAAATAAATAAAAATAAATATTTAGAACGCAAGGAGAAAAACGATAGAAAAAGGAATAAGGATCTTTTTCTACTATAACATTCATTTAAATTACTTTTCTTTGTATGTACTTTTTTTTTTACTCACATGTTTGGATCAATTTGTATGTATGGGTATTATAAAAATTAAAATAAATAATAATAACGATTAGTCTGACTCGATTATTTCGGTACGGTATGATTTACTTTTTAATAGTTTGACGATGTCCGTACCCACGAAATGTCGCCATTGCAATTTAAAACTCCAAAACTGGTAGTCAATGTGCCCGACCCTTGATTTAAGGCGATCTCAGTCCTTATTCTCGAAAGAATTTACATTTTGTTAACTCTATAAGAATGTATTCGGATTCTTACTTAAAAATAAGATAACACTGTATAATAACAACACCTGAAATTTGAAATCGAAGATTCATTCAACTTAGGAAGCACGCATGAAATAATTTCCGACAATGAATATTCTGCCTCAAACATAAAGGGATCCGAAGTAATTGACTTGCATCATGATCACCATTTTGTGGATCAGGATTTAGGCTAGTAATATGCGCATAAATGAAATACAAGTTGCGCTTCTTTTAAATAAAACACAGAAAGTTAATGAGCTGTCATAATTCATATTATTATTCAAGGGGCATATACAGTATTTACGTGACAACTATGCGGTGGTTTATATCCGAAATTAAAATAATTATCGTGAAACTCGTGATAGACAAACTACTGAGACACCCGGTGAGTTTTCACCAAATTACCGCCGGAAAAATGAATTTACCTTTTGTATAATAATTTGCAAACGAGCAGTTCTCTTCGAAGTTATCACTTTTGATCGACCAAATAAATTGCGCACATACCGAAATCATAATACATACTATGAAAGAGAACGATGGTGGGATCTTGTTTCCAAAATCTTTATCATTTAATTGCCATTAAAGTAAAAAGGTGGTCCGAGATTTACACTTATTTAGTACAAAGCAAATCTTATTTAATAATACCAATTTTCAGGATTTGTTATTTTATTTATTTTAATCACACCATTATACGACCGTTACCTGTAATTAAAGAGATTTCCCGGAGCTATATGGGAGGATATGAATAGGTTATGGCAATTGAGCGATAGCTTCTAATTCTTTATGGAAGAAAGTAAATGATTTGTAATAGACGAAAAAGAAATAATTATACTAGTCTCTCGCGTGATTAAAGTTGCATGATCAAGATTGTCAACAATAATTAATAATTGTTCTTAATAATCGAAAAAACGCTTATAAAATATTTTAATTATAATTGTATAAATCCATATAATATTTAAATTATAGAAAAAAAATTTTTTTTATCCTTATAATAGAAATATTGATATAGGATAGGATCAATTATTTTAAAATTATAATGGAATTTTAATAGTAATTATAAGTTTTATTGTTTATTAAAATGTTAAAAATTCGAGCTACAATATTTAATATTGATATATATAGCTAGGCTAATATGGCTTGTCTTTATTGTAAGATATATTATACTTATAGATATTAATCATATAATAGTTGGTTTTATTGATTATTAAGAATAGGCACAGAATAATACAAGTAATTTGTAAGACTATATATCCTAAATATATAATAAAACAGTTTGCCAGGAGTGATCCACTTTTACAACTCAAGTTAACCTGATATACATGAAGTTCTACTAGTTATTGCATTAATAAGAGAGGTGAAAACAAAAAAAGTGAGAAAAGGGACTATATAAACTAATTGTTTTATGGATATTATGTATCAAAAAGTTGTAGTATTAAAAAATCTCCCAATAAAAAATACTACAAATAAATGTTTCTTTATCTTGAAGATAGAAAGTTTTGATGAGTATATTGTGAATACATATTTTTTTTTTTTTTTTTTTTTTTTTAAGGGTAACTTTCGCCCAGTAGACTTTATTAAACGGGTTTTTAAGATGTACG